TTGGGAACCTGCTAGCACTAAGTTGCTAACTGGTTAGCAAGATGCTTCCGAGTCACCGGCCACAACCAAAAAGCTTGCGAACCTTCCACCACAACAATCCCGCCCCCTTGATAATCAACCAATCACATTCACTTTATTCACTCATGTAAAGTCGTGCACCACTTGGGAGAGTTCGGAAATGTAACGGTTGGAACAGCCGCTTCCCTACAACTTAAAAAATCAGTTAACTCTGTTTATTTCTTCAGTGGCCATAATCCTCTTCCATATTATTCAGAGGTGAACCAGAAAACAAAATAAGAAAAAAGTGACCCTTTTATTTTTATTAATTGTTTTGCCTGTATGGGTTAAATATCAAGCTGCAGTAACTAGATGTATTGCAGAAGTGAAGCCCGGTTGCTATGAAGCAGGTTTTATGATGTCTGCTGGGAAAAAAAGCTGCATTTCAAAGATACGCTTACAAAACTAATTTATTTAATGAAAGATTGTTAAAAAATAGATCAGTTTAATTTGTATTTTTATCAATTTAAATAGGGTTTCAGATACAGACTCTGATATAGGGGTTTAGAATAGATTTCTTTAAAGATGGAGAGTAACCTAATATATTGTTGAATATTGTGTAAACTTAATAAAAAAAGTGCGATTCAGATTAAAACTTTGCAAATATTTTACTTCAAAAAGGCTTTGCTGTTTTCTCCAATTTTTTTTTTCCAAAAAACAGATTTTGTTTTTTATTTTGTTTTCCAGATCAAGAATTAGAAATTGGATTCTTTTCAAACTGCGTTTCACAGATCAGATTCTCTTCGCTTCCTGGCCAATCCAAACGCTCGCTCTAAACCAATGAAAAGGTTGTTGCTTAAGTCTAACTGGACCAATAGAAATGCGCCCTCAGTGCAAAAGAAGAGAACCCGATCTGGAAAAATTCAGGGGGGTGGGATCTTCATCATTCTGATGAAGAGAAATTTAAAATAATCTGTAAAGAAAAAAAACTTTGAATAAAATAAAATATGAAAAATAAATTGGGGAAAAACTAAAATTTGAAAAAAATAAAATCTCTTAAAACATTATTTTGTTGTAGTTTCATGTTTTTTTTCTTTCATATTTTCTTTGCTTGCAACAATAATGGAGCAAATTTCATTCCATATCTAAGAAGCAACCAGTAACCTTCCAGCTATATTTCACACTATAACCGACTCTAATTTCCTGTTAGATTTGTTTCTGACTCTTGCGTTTTTTTCCAGGAGTTTTTATTGATTTGATGCACCTGATAAAACCAGGGGGCTTCGACGTCTCGCTCTTCTTTAGGGATATCGTGAGTCCGCCTGAGGATGACAGCGAGCTCGGGCTGCAGCTGGAGCCCTGTGACAAACTGGAGGACCTCCAGAAACGGGTTCGAGCCAGAGAGACCAAAAGGAGAGCCTTGGCCAGGTGACATTTGTTTTTCTGCAGCAACTGTTTCTTCCATCTTTAGTCCATTACATGACATGTTAATAAAAAAAAAAAAAAATCCTGTGCTTGAAGAGGGCAGCAAACAACCAGATATGAGAGGTGCAGAATAAGATCTGTCACTGCTTTGTTCTTGAAATAAATGTATTTCCCCTCTTTTTGGGCTGGTTAGTAAGGAAACTGTCACTGTTGCCACCTTCTGGTTTAGGGGAGTAATATCAAATATTCCAGTGTCACAATTGGGGATGCAACTAACGATTATTTTGCAAATCGATTAATCTATTGATTATTTTTTTGATTAATCAATGAATAATATGATAGCCAAAGGTCCCTTAAAAAGATTTTTTACCAAAGTGAACCAGGTGAAACTTAAACTTTTCTAAACGAGAAGTTTTGGATAGATGAAAATGTTTTTTTTTTTTTTTTTTAAGGGATTGTGGAGGAAGTGCACAACCCTGTTCCCTGCACCCGAGAGGGAACGCCTATTAAAAGCGTGCGAGAGCGTGCACAAGTCCAGGAGGGAGTGGTGGCCTAGTGGTTAGGGCATAGGTCTTTGAATCCTTAGATTGGGAGTTTGATCCCCCAGTCCCTGAGCAAGGCCCTTGACCCCACACTGCTCCCCGGGCGCTGCAAAATGGCAGCCCACTGCTCCCCAAGGGGATGGGTTAAATGCAGAGATAAATTTCTCCAATGTGAGATCAAAAATGTTCAATTTATTTATTTTATTTCTCCTTGTGCACGCTCTGTTTAAAAGTTGCTGTTCTCATAGCTCATACAAGCTTACTGTGTCCAAAGGTCAGCCCAAAATCCATCAATCACTATATAGAGCGGGGACTAGATAGTGGACTTCATAGTGAAATCAATTAACTGACTCATAAACTTCGTAGACACTTTTTCCTCTTCCGACCCTCGGCCATTTACAAAGAGCCGCGGCGAGAAAGGTGAACTTCAGTGACTGCCTGAAACTGTAGCTCACCACAGATATACGCCTGAAAGTGCACAGAAAGAGATAGCTCCTATATATATATATATATA